TGTTGTTTTAAATTTGAATTATGAAAAAACATTTTAACTAGCTATTTATTTATGTTTTTTGTTAAATTATTTTCATTTAAATATTTATTATATGTAGGTATTGGTTTATGTTTGTCAAGGTCAAACAAATTGTTATACAATATTTTATTTATAAATAATAATTTTATTCTACCTATATGATGAATTATTTAAAGTATAATATTAAATATTAAAATGTTTCTATAATCTTCATTATTATAATATTTTTTTTTCATTTTATTTTATTGTTATCCTAATTCAATATAAAAATTAACAAGTAAATAGTGAATCTAATAATTTTTAGTATAACCTAAGGGCCCCTTGATTACAGACTGGGCCTTTTGACTGCAGTCCGACTCTGCTAGGCTCTGTTTTCTGATGCTGTTCAACTGGTCATCGAATTTGCAATCTAACTCTGCACTAGTTTAGGAAAATTTGACAAGGGTATCAAAGGCTGCCAACACATTAGCTTGAGAAGGCTTATCCACTGGAGGTTAGGTTAGGTTATTAGATTAGGGAACTAGATTGCACACATACAAATGTACACATACCTACAATAGAGAATGTATATACATAGTAGGGATAAAATAAGGTACCAATAAAACTGTTACCTAAAATTTGTTCGAGTTTCGTGTTCACCGAAATAATTCATATAAACCGAGGAAATAAAAAAACCCCTATCTTATAGTACAGAGCCTTTTTCGGGACCGAAAAACCGGTTCGCATTATCCAATAATCTGTGATAACCAAGTTCGTGTTAACGAGGAAGTACTATAAGTAAAAAAAACCTTTAATAAAATAAAAATTCTTTATAGCAAAAAGTATGGTCATAAATACTTAATAAACAGAAATAATACTTGAAAATATTAAAACTTAATAATAAAACAATTATTACATGAAAAAATGTACTAAGCTAGAAATCTGAACCACGGTGAGTTTAAAATTTAAAAATATTATATCAATTTTAGGGGAAAAGTGCATATTTATTGAATTTCATGCTCACACCTATTCAATATTTTCCAAAAAAAATTAATTTTTTTTCTTTCATTGTCTGTGTATTCTAATAATAAAATTGAATATACCTAAAATTTAATTTAATTTACCTGAAACTCAATATTATTTTATGTTGGTATTTATTGTTATTGTTGCCGTTGACTATTAATTTAACGACAATAGTGCGATGTAAATTTAATTTCTAGCGCACTAATATTCTTATGTAATCTTTTTGAATATATTTTTTTAATTCAATAAAATGTCAAAATGCAAATAATTTTCCTCATATTTTTATTTTTAAC